CCTTGGGAGACCCCCATTGTCACGCCTCTAAAGGCAAATGGGGACATTCGCATTTGTGCTGACTACAAATGCACTCTGAATAAGGCATTGCAGCAACATGCCTATCCTGTTCCTGTGGTCAGTCATATTCTGGCCTCCCTCAAGGGGGGGCGCGTTTTTGCAAAGCTTGACCTAGCTCAAGCGTATCAACAGCTGCCTGTTGATGATGATGCTGCTATAGCTCAGACTATTGTGACCCACAGGGGAGCCTTTAAGGTAAAAAGGCTGCAGTTTGGAGTGAATGTCGCTCCTGGGATTTTCCAAAGCGTAATGGAAAACACACTGTGGGGCATACCGGGGGTTTGCCCCTACTTTGATGATGTCTTAATTGCAGGAGACTCCACACACATTCTAGCTGAAAGGCTAAGGGCTGTTCTGTTAAGATTCAGGAAAACAGGCCTCAAGCTCAAAAAAGACAAATGCAAGATTGGGGTGCCTTCTACTGAATTTCTGGGGATTCAAAATTGATGCTGCTGGGATTCACCCTGCTGAATCCAAACTAACTGCTATTTTAGAAGCACCTAGGCCAAAGTCCAAGGCCGAACTTCAGGCCTTCCTGGGCCTCCTGAATTTCTACAATTCTTTTCTTCCACATAAAGCTAGTGTAGCTGAGCCTCTTCACAGGCTACTAGACAAGCAAGCAGTGTGGCGGTGGTCACAGACGCATGAGGCCTGCTTTAACGAAGTCAAGGCCTTGCTCACTTCTAACAGTGTACTTGCACATTTCAACGAGTCCCTTCCTGTGTGCATCGCTTGTGATGCGTCCCCTTACGGGGTTGGAGCTGTCCTGAGCCACCTCAGGTCTGATGGAACTCAGGTTCCTGTTGCATATTACTCCAGAACATTGTCTTCTGCTGAGCGCAACTACGCTCAGATAGACAGGGAGGCTCTGGCTGTTGTTGCTGGAATTAAAAAATTCCATGACTTTCTATATGGCAGGCACTTCACGGTCTTCACTGACCATAAGCCTCTGCTGGGACTGTTTACCACACGTAAGCAGACTCCCCAAATCATTTCCCCTAGAATGCTTAGGTGGTCTATTTTTTTGTCTGCATATGATTTTTCTTTACTCCACAAGCCTGGAAAAGAAATGGGCCATGCTGATGGCCTCAGTAGATTGCCTCTGCCAGTAGTAGAAGCTGACCCTGCGCCAGCTGTCAACATTCTATCAATCCAAGCCTTGCCCGAGCTCCCTCTTAGTGCCAGGGATGTTGCCGCTGAAACAGGTACAGATCACACACTTTCACGTGTCCGTTCCTGGGTTTTGTCTGGTTGGCCTGAGCACTGCCCTAGTCCTGAGTTTCAGAGTTTCTGGTCCAAAAGGAACGAGCTGTCCCTTTCTCAGGGTTGTCTGCTTTGGGGAAACAGAGTTGTCATTCCCACCTCAATGAGGACTAGGGTCTTAGAATCCCTCCACGAGGGTCATCCTGGCATTGTTCGTATGAAGGCTCTTGCGCGCAGCCACTTGTGGTGGCCTGGTTTAGATAAAGATATTGAGGCTAAGGTGCATGCATGCCACCTGTGCCAACGATCTCGCCCAGAGATGCCCCAAGCTCCCGTGCATAGATGGGAGGAAACACAGTCCCCATGGTCTAGGGTGCACATTGACTACGCTGGACCCTTTCAGGGCCAGTTCTTCTTGGTCCTTGTTGACAGCCATTCGAAATGGCTTGAGGTTGTACCTGTCTCATCCACCACCACTGCAAAGACTATTCAGGTACTGAGGGGGATTTTTGCTGCACACGGGCTGCCAGATGTCATTGTGTCCGACAACGGCCCTCAATTCACTTCCTCCGAATTCCAAGCTTTCTTACAGGCAAACATGATTCGTCATGCCACGTCTGCACCCTTCCACCCGTCCACCAACGGTATGGCTGAACGTATGGTGCGCATCACAAAGGACGCATTGAAAAGACTCACCTACGGGGACTGGCATCACAGGTTGGCTGACTTTCTCCTTTCTTATCGCACCACACCGTCCACTTCTACAGGGAGAAGCCCAGCTGAACTTCGTTGGGGGCGTCAACTTACTACTAAACTTGACCGGTTGCATCCGGACAGACTGCCTTCATCTACCTCACATCCTAGGGCACCTAGACAACTACTTGTGGGTGCCCCGGTTTGGGCTCGCAATTACGGGCCTGGTCATACATGGGTCCCCACTTCTATTTCCAGGGTCACAGGTCCTCTCTCCTACGAGGTAGCCCTGGACAACGGTCGTGTCCTGCGTCGGCACATCGACCAACTCCGCCCTAGGCGGGACCTTTCAGATGAGACTCCTGGGTCTTTTCCAGGGGGGGAGGGGGACCCTTTGGAGCAAAGGGAAGGGCACGAGCTGCTGCCCACCTCCACTGATGGAGCCACAAACGGCCCATCCCAGGGTTCCGCGAGAGCTCCGAACAAGAATTCTATGAGCCTACCCAACTACCAGGCATCCACGCCTACTCCAGCCAGGGAGTCACCCCGGGGGCATACTCACTTTCCACACACATCACACAGCACTCCAGTCACGGAGGATACCCGGGGGCATCCCAACAAATCATTCCCGCAAGAGAGCTGGCACACAATCCCCAAAGTTGGCCTGACCTTACCCCAAATTCTACAGGGGGTCAAACATACAGGGAGGTGGTCGAGGAACCAAGTCCCGACTACAACACCTCTAGCCCAAATCAGGGAGTAACTGAGTTTTGGGAAAGTACAGAAACCCACACAAGCCCGGACACAGAACGGGGTTCAGGGAATGGACAGCCTCCTGACAGGTCTTGGACGGACCTAGGAGGTTCAACAGAGACGCCCAGCAGTGGCTATCACTTCAAGGGGCCCGAGGGTCTACAGCTAGGCAGGTCAACCAGGTCACAAAGTGACAGAAGCCCTGGCCTGACGAGCCCGGTGGGCGAGCAAGCAGGCCAGGCATCGGGGCAAAGTCCTTGGAAGGCACCAAGGCATGATAAGGAGAACAGGCTCACATCTCCCTCCAGTCAGGGAACTCCTGCTAGTAACCCAGAGCTGAGAAGGTCATAGAGAGCAAGGAAGTCTCCTAAATACTTAGAGGATTACATAACATTGCTGGCTAAACAAAAGCCAGGTAACGATAGGAGCACTGAGAAGCAGAACACTGCATAAAATAAATGATTATATGTTGGTAGTAGTTTTAGCCCGGGGGAAGGGGTGTTATGTCCCGAGCCTTGCAAACGGCTCGGGCGTTTGCAGGCAGTCCCGGGCAGGTGCAAAGCTGCCCGGGACCAGACAGGCTGTCGCCAGCGCCGTGCGCATGCGCGGGTGCTGGCGCGGGAAAAGTATCGCATTTACCCGGGAAATGTCTATATAAGAAGCTGGGAGGTTTTGGGAGCTGCTGAAGCCATCTACTTGTAAGCTGAACCCAGAATAAAGAAAACTGAGAACTCCAACTGCTTCTCGTGTCTGCTTTACGCCAAGGACTCAACACATTGTGCTTAGGATAAGTCCTTTTCCAGTGCCCTTGCATGGGGAAGAGATTCAAACAGTAGGACACATCAAAACTGGGCCAGCACCAGATAAGGCAATGAACAACATACAGTTTAGCCTCTACATTGAACAAGCCATTGATAAGTCAAAGACCTCTAAGACAGGGCTTTTCAACCGGTTGTACATGTACTTTAGCACCTGGCAGGTGGTACATGAGCCCTAGCCAAGTGTAGTGGGGGAGAGAACAAGTTAAAGCGGCACCGCACAGGGCTTGGTAGAAGCCCCAAGATCTGTGCATGTGTGGCTGCATGCTGATTGGAGCTTCCGGCCAACCCAGAAGAGAAAAGGAGGAGGAAGAGGGTGGAGAAGCTACAAAAGGAGCAGGTTTTGGTGGGAGAAAAAAACATGGAGAAAGAGAGAGAAGAGGCTTTTGTTAGTGAAGGAGAGAGAGAAAGTGGCCTTTAGGAGCGAAGGGTGAGTGAAAGAGTGAGCGAGGGGCTTGTGCAAGCAATGTGTGAGTGAATGAACGAGAGAGAAGCTTTTGCAAGGAATGTATGAGTGAATGAGAGCAAGAGAGAAACTTGTGCGAGCAATGTGTGAGTGAAAGAGAGAGAAGCTTGTGCAAGCAATGTGTGAGTGAATGAGCGAGAGAGAAGCTTGTTTGAGCAACGTGTGAGTGAAAGAGACAGCTTTTGCAAGCAACATGGGTGAATGAGAGCGAGAGAAGCTTTTGCAAGCAACGTGAGTGAATGAGAGCAAGAGAGCTTTCACAAGTAATGTGTGAGTGAAAGTGAGAGAGAAGCTTTCGTGAGCAACGTGTGAGTGAATGAGAGCAAGAGACGCTTGTGCGAGCAACGTGAGTGAATGAGAGCAAGAGAAGCTTGTGCGAGCAACGTGAGTGAATGAGAGCAAGAGAGAAGCTCGTGCGAGCAACATGTGAGTGAATGAGAAGCTTGTGCAAGCAACATGTGAGTGAATGAGAGTGAGAAAAGCTTTTGCGAGCAACGTGTGAGTGAATGAGAGTGAGAGAAGCTTTTGCGAGCAACATGTGAATGAATGAGAGCAAGGGAGAGGCATTTGCTAACAAAGGGTGAGGGGGGCTGCAAGCAAAGAGTGAGAGAAAAAGGGAAAAGTGAGGGGGAGAAGGGAAAAAGAAAAGAAAAGGCATTGACTTCTGAGTTCTACTGTAATGCAATAGGAAGCATTAACATTGAACCTCAACTTTTTTACTTTTCCTTAATATTATAAATTAGCCATTTCTATAACAACAAATGAATCTAATCAGTAAAGCCTAAAGTCTCCCCCTTTTTTTAGTCGTCAATTTTTTTGACATCTTGCTAAGCACTGGTGGTACTCAAATATTGTCATGTCCTAAAAGTGATAAAATCTGTGAAAAGGTTGAAAAGCCCTGCTCTAAGATTTGCAGCATTCTTGCATCTTGGAACAGAGGCCCCATTTCCACAGTTTTTCTTTCTGAAAAATACACTGCATGCATGAGATTCATTCACCCATCTCACCTTCAAACATAAATGTGTCAACTTCAGCTGCTATGTCTTCATCGGACAAATGTTGATCCTCTTCATCCTATAGTGACAAAATCAGGTATTTATTGAGAGAGACCAGACAGTTTGGGAATCTCACTATGGTAATGCTGTTTTCCATAATCAAGGGTCTCACTCAGCATCTGCCATTCTGCACCTCTGCTATAAACAGCCTTGACTGCATTTGTTGAGGTACCCATCTCCAGAGCAGTTCATAGTTTTTTCCATATATACTGATGGCTTTTTGCAAAAGCAGGGCTTCTGTTCCAATGAAACCTGCAGACAGAAACCCTAACATCTCTATTAGTAATTAGCAGCATTTTACACAGGCCTTTTCAAGAGGAGAAACGTCTTCCCCAGCATTTCTGCAATTAATCATGTGAACACACAACACTACCATTCATATGAACACCATGGTGATGAAGAACAATGAGCATTCAGATATATCCAAACAATTAAATTATCCTTTGCATATAAGGAAAAGCTTTTTAAAAAATTAATTAACAACTATTGCAATTTTTCAAACTGTGTTCGATGAAATACTGGGGAAATACTAGAACTTGATAGGGTTCCATATGAGACTATGGCAAAAAGAAAAAAAATTCTCTTGATCAGAAAGAAAATGGATCTTTGCCTCTTGATCATGGATTCCATAACATTTTTTAGCTAACATTTTTGGGAAAATTTGGAAAAACCCTGGACTAGAGAAGCTCATTTCTTCATAGCATATGCTTTATATTTTTTCTTTTTTTTATTATTCTCGTGATTTGGAAAAAGAATGGGAGGGTATCATTTTTTAAAACCTGTCTGGTTAAAATCCTTCTTTAACCAAAACAATTTCAAAACCAGGGAAGGAACATCACTCTAATACTGAATTCTGATAATGACATTTTTGACTGTTTCCCTCAAAACACATAACCTATACATAAGTTGAGATCTGCTTCATAAGAACGTTATTAAATTTATTCTTCTCTTCCCCAGCTTCTTCCAGAGGGATGTTATAGTGAATCCTGTCGCTGTGTGCCTACTCTAGGCAGTTGAAATGCCATATTTCATTCCTAAGTTTCTTTATTTCTTGAAGGAGACAACTTAAAATGGGAGGCCATGAGCAAGTATACTGTGTAACTTAGCACCAACATGTTCTTGTAGGGTTGCAGATGAATTAAAAGCTCAATGTCCAGGGGCCTGGTAGGAGGGAATAAGCACTGTAGCCAGCCTTCTGTGCTGGAGATATAGAGGAGAGAAGAGAGTACATTTACTTTGTTTAATGAATCCTATGTGCAAACTTAAATTAAATATTGTGATTATAGTGCAAACACGGATGGAGGAGAAACTGAAACCAGCTGTTGCCTAAAACATCTGAAAAAGAGATAAGTACATACATACCTTGGCCAATAACAAAACATCAATGAAGTCAATGGTTTTGCCCTGCTTGGATGTGAGCCAGGCATTCTGGCCCAAACGGTTAAGCGCCATTCGCCGTTCCTGAATTACATTCTCTGTGAAATGATGCACAATTTCACATGAACGACGGAAACGGCGGCCCTGGGATGTCAGGTAGTAAACCCAGTCAGATTGCAGATACAGTTTAGTTTGCCGCTGCACGACAAGGGAACTGAGTTCCAAGATGGCCATAATATAGTCACTTGATTTCCTGAAATGTATCCAATGATTTTGTTATAAGAAAAAAATGAAAGAGAGATTCAATAGAAACATGCACTTAGAATATGCACAGGAATGTATTTTTCCTAAAAAATACAAATAAGTCTTATCATTGCTCCGAGTAATATATACCACTGGTCTGAAGAATTGATTGTTAACATATCTATGTAACACAAATACAGTAACTAGTTTGTAGTGGGTTTATTTTACACTTGTAACATTAAACAACACTAGTATGTTAGAAAAATATCTGTAGTAAGCATTGACTTACTTTTTTGCAAGTATTGACTTGGAATTCTTTTTATTTCCCAATTCATCTGATATAACTCAAACCATATGCATTCATCAGAAAGCCTCAGTTTATTTGATGGATCTAACTACCAAAGGATTGACTTAGTGCAACTGTATGCATATTTACACAAAGATAACTTGTATGGTGAGGTTAAAATGTGGCAAAAATTATTCTGTTTTTGATATCCTGGATCAAAGAGATCATTCTCGTCACTTTGAGAAATGCGTGTTGTTGTTCTGAAAATGCTGTCTCAAATATTTTTAATATCTCACTGTAAAAGAAGAATTGGCTTTCCCTAAGCAAAATATTTCAGACACATCCAAAGTTACTAAGCTATTGGAAATCTTTCTGAATGGGTAAGTAAGAATACTGCACCTGTGGTATTCTAACATCACCCATTCTTATTATTTTTATAGAAGCCCCAATGTCTGAATGCAATTTTAATAACATTAAACTTATCTATAAAGGCAATGTTTATTTCTAAGTTTAGCCTTCCAATCTAGGGCAGAGATTCCCACTATTTGGAGGCTGGGGATACATATAATATGTTTTGAAAGGAGACACCTTTGATGCCTGGACCCATAACATTCTCTTTTTTCCCCATTGAGTTTGGAGAAATTGTTTGGGAGAATTCTTTATTGTTAAAAACAATGCTAAGTTTAGTTCAATTACAGATTTCATATGTTTCTTGCCTCATCACATGCCTATTATTTATCACTGAAATGAGACCGCAAAAATTGAGTTTGCACCTCTGTGCAGCCCTGGCCTCAGTATGCCTTCATATTTGGAAAAGGAATTCAGCTTTTCGCCTCAAGAATATAACACATATTCACACTTATCTTCCTTTCATTGCACTTCTTCATGCTGCCGGTTTACTTACTCTTGACAGTTGCTATTAGAGCTGAAAACACATTTCTGCAAGCTATCTAGAGTCATGAGGCTGATGTGCTTAAACATGTCAAGAGAAACAGGACCTGCTGAGATTAGTTTGTGCCACTTGTCCTGTAAAAAGATAAGCAATACATCAAACCTAGAAAAGGAACAAAATGATACCGAGGACAAGGAGGGACCCAGATCTTGCACAAGGCCAAGACTGATGTGAGTCAGGATGAGTAAAGGGCTATGCAAATGCCTGGGGAATAAACCAAGGAGAGATGATACTGATACTTCACATCTGCACAGTGAACATGCAAAGAAGGAGGATAGAACAGAGAGGTGGCAAACTATGCACATTTATTTTACTTAGTGTATGGCATCTACAGAGGTCATTCCATCACTAATAATGATGAAGTTATCCATTCAATCATGTCCGACTCTTGCAAATTCTATGGCCAGGTCTCTCCACATCATGTATAAACACAAACATAAGTTTAAATAAAGCATCAGCAAATGTATGTAAAGTGTGTGGACAATACAATAGATGAAATAAAATATTGAGTTAGGATAAAACCATAAAATTGCCCTAACATGGCACCATAGAATCTCAACATGGTGGATGCTATAGTTCAATAGCTAAGGAAGCTATCTATCTAACTGCTTTTGGTGTGGCTACAAAACTAGTGCAAAAATTCAATATCTCTGCAAGGAAAACTGTCAAAGTCTTCTGTATCTCAAATGTGCCATGTTTTCAGAAATAAAATCAAAATTATTTAGTGTTATGGTGCTCCTAATATTAAGTTCAGTTTTAGTAAGATTACTGCATAACTAAATCTCTGGTTTATGACTTGTTTATACGAGAAGGTCTAATACTTAAATTTCTGAATAGCTGTTATGTGATAGAGCAAGAACCAAATAAATCCTAAACTTCCCACCAGGCGTTACTTCTCCACAAACTTTTTAATGATAAAATATGTATCTATTGGGAAGGGAGGACGATAGGAGGGTTGGAAGGAGATGGGAGGGGAGAGAGAGGGAGGGAGGGAGACAGAAAGATGTTGTTGAAAAAAGAAAGGGTAAATCCTAGTGTCCACTTATTCCCCACAGGCATTTGGCCATTCTGAAACATTTAGTCTACTTTGCAAGCAGAGTGAATGCTTTGTTTTGTATGTTAAAAATTAAATCTTTATGCTACATTAAAATAATGTAGCAAAAAATTAAGAAACAGCATATTATTTACATACTTGCCTTGTTGTAATGCAGTTATAGGCATAGTAAGTAATTATGGTTTATTTCCTTAATCTGGCTGCTTCTCTTATTACTGTTCTATTATTTTTATTTATACTCCCTTTGTTTCTTCCCTTCCATCTCTGAGTCTCATGTTTACTTTGCTACACTGGCAAAATTCCAGCATTTTGGAACTGGTTGTTGTTATAGTGTTACAATGGAGATGGGTTTCAACATGTTCTTGAATAAGTTGCAAAATATTTGTCTGCCTGTCAGTTCCCCCCCCCCCCAATCGTACATCCATCCATTTCATGTTAAGAGACTTTTTAACTTTGTGTTTCATTACCTTTAAGAAATGGGCAAGCAACAACAGAGTAGCAGGTGCTAGGGTTTTCAAGATAGTATCAAAATGCTCAAGCTTACATTTGTGTGCAAACATCTGGAACACCTGGTAGAGCACAAAAAGTACTTCCTTTTGAACTGTTTAAATAGGTGCATCTTTTTCAAGATTTGCACAACTTCTTCAGTAGCTGTTCCTGGTTTTTTCCACATGTATGTGCACATACAGTCACTTTACTTTTAAAAGTGGGTGTTAGTATAAAATATTGTGATCTTATTAGAAAGCTGGAATTGAACACATGGAGCTGTCAACAAATCCCACATTCATTTGAAATAAGGTACCAGTTACAACACATATTGAGTAAGAATGGAATGATATCTCTATCCCAACATTAGAAAAAATGCTCACAAAAGAGTAGTGAGCACTCAAAGATGTCATAAGAAGAACCCTTAAAATCCTCTTTCCTTCCCATTTCAGTTGTACATTCTTGATGGACTGCACCAACAGAGATGCAGAGACATTTAATGAGTATGGGAAGAATGAAGTGGGGATGCCTAAGTTTTAGAAGAGCTCACATGCATGATGTCTGTACTCTGATTGAAGATTTTCACATAAGGCTTCAGGATATCAAAATGAAAGGCAGGAGTGAGCAAACGCCGGTGTCGTGCCCACTTTGTCCCACTGCTCAGTAATAATCCATCTCCTGTGGTAAGAAAAATTGGGGCTGATTGAAGCAAAGGATTGAATTAGACAAAATTCTTCTTTGCCAGAGGAACTGTCTGCATCTTTCCATACAAACTAAATCTGACTTCCCCAATTTGGTATTTTCTAGATATGTTGGATTACAGCTTCCAGATTTCACAACCAGAGAAATCAGAGACAATATTTCTATGTCCACAAAACAAATCATTTGAACTAACTGTAAAGTATATCTTGGCATGAGCTCCACCTGTAAGATATCCTGAGCTATACAGCTAGTACACGTGAAGTAACCTGACATAAGCAGGGCCTAGAGGACCACAAAGTGGAAGGGTTTTCTACAGAACTATAGAGATTGAAAGCATTATATATTACATACATTACACAAACACTTATTTCAAAGAAATATCTTTAATGCTGTCCTGGAGTAAATATAAAATCTTGGAAACTGTAAAAGGACTTTTCAAACCTCATTTATTTAATTAAGTTTGAGTTTTTCCCAATGACTTGAAATACTTTTTCCCAGATTTCTCTCTACCTGGCTTAAGTTGCTGTTAGCTGACCCACTGCTACCTTTTGATTGATTGTCCCATGCCCTTCCCAACCTCCATGCAAACTTTCACAGTAACGATAAAAATGAATTGAAAGGCATGGTGTATGTCATGGTTGTCAAACTCGATCATGTTATGTGACATATTGTGATGTATCATGACATTTTTTGCCTTTGTGGAGCTGAGGTGGGCGTCGCCTCTGTGTGACACATCTGGCTTGCGGGCCGCCAGTTTGACATTCCTGGTGTATGTTATTAATATAAACTGTTTTTTCCTGTTTCCTTTTCTTTTATTCTCCCATGACTTCAGTTTCGCTGATGTAATACTTTTACTTTACATTATGTTGCTCACCCTGAAATAGTATAACATAATGGGCATGCATGTACATGTAGTCCTCACTTAATGACCATTCATTCAGCAACCATTTGAAGTTAGGATGGTACTGAATGGACTTATGACCAGCCCTCAAAGTTCTAGTTGTTGCAGTACCCTGTGGTAATGTGGATAAAATTTGAGTCCACCCATATTTACAACCACTCCCCTGCCGCTGTCCCTCACCCTCATCTGACTTTTGTCATCGTCTTCACCTGCCTCCCCTCTGCTGTGCTCACCCATCTGACCATTCTAAAAAGGCGGCTCTGGTTGTGTTGATGCAAAAGAAGGTGGAGCAGACAAGGCCAGATGGTGGAGGTAACTGGTGTTGGTGGCTAGGCATGGAGCAAAAGGGCAGAGATGGGGGAAGATGGGGGGGGGTTGAGGTGGAGGCAATCCCTTACCTTCTTCCAAGAATGGCTTGGTTCCAGGTAGCTCCTTGCCTATTCACTCAACAACAGTAATTGGGATTTGCCAGAACTGCTGTTGCTAAGTGGAACAGTCACACGACTTTTCACTTAAAGATTGCATCACTTAGCAATGGAGTTGCAGTCTCAATTAGAACTATTAAGTGAGGACTACCTCTATGTCTATGAGTAGTATTTTTTTTAAAAGCATTTTATGATCCTAAAAACTCTGTTGCCTGACATTGGGTGTTATAGCAATTTTGCATAACAATATATTAATAAAGCGAGAGATATTTTACCAAGCCAGGGCTTCAGGAAGCTATAGAAGAATTTGTCCTTGGGAGCAGTATCGGCTGCAGAGAAAAACAGAAACAGTTTTCCCGCTGGTCTCTTTAAAAACAGCAAAATAGTTCCAACCTCCCAGTCCTGGGAATAATGTCCCTAAAATATCGTGTTCTTCAGCAGAATTAAAGGCAACTGATCTTTCCTAAATGCTTGTCTTATTACTTGACTGAAAGTATCTTGCCCTTTGTATGTTATCAATGATGAGCTTTTTGCTTGACTAATCAGCCTGGAGAAATGCTACTTCAGGAATTAAGCAACAAGAATAGTTGATATTATTGATAGGTCCGTCATGTGAGGCTTACATCAAGGAAGGAATAAAACTTCATTGGAGGGTATTTTCACCATGTATTCTATTTGCATAATTTATATAGGTTTTGTTCATGTGTAGCATCACTAAGGCTCATGTCTAGAATGTGTTTCAATTTCCATTTTTAAATTCTGCAATTCTGTATGACTGTATAATCTATTTCTAGGAGATAACAGAAAAAATAATAGTATGCATATAAGCCAGACAAATGATCTGGTTTGGAAGCAAATGTTTCCAGGTGTGTGCAGGGAATGCAAAAGGCTCCCAAATGAAGTTTAAGGGAGTCTGCAAAAGTTTAGTCAGCACATCACACCATACTTGAGCCTCAAAGGCAGATGCCCAAGTTGCAAAATTTCCATCATACTGATATTTTAACTTCATAACTTTCAGCTGGCATTTAAATGATATAATGATGACAGCTTCTCAGAACAGCTTCATTATCAGAAAGCTTTTAAAAATAAACTAAACTTAAAAATAAAATAAAGTAAGTTTTTAAATAAACGTCTGCACGGAGGCACACAAGGTGAATTGAAAATAAGGACTGTTAAATCTTACGTATTTTTCCTTTCTGAGGCTGCAGGAAAAGTGAGGAAAACTTCACTATTTTGGGACCTGTATTAGATTAGGCCTGAAGTATATTTTCTGCAGTCTGTTGATGTTTACTTAATGTTGTAAGCCCACACCTTGTGGTGAGATAGGTAGCAAACAAATACAGACTGGCTCATGGTGACCACAGGATGTTCTTCACATTTTGAGGCTGGCAGTAGTATAAACAGTTGTGGATTGCTTCTAATAGCTGGAGAGTGAACCAGTGATAGTATAGGAGTACCCTACAATTTTTTAGTCTAACTCCATTTCATTTTTTTAAATGGAATGGATGGATTATGGCAGTGGTGGGATTCAGCCAGTTCGCATCACTTCGGCAGAACCAGTAACTACTTTTTGTTGCCCAGGCCCAGAATGGATTTCCGGAAGCAGCATCTGCACAGAGAACCAGTTGTTTACATATTTGAATCCCACCACTGGATTATGGAGGAGGTATCAAAAACATTTCTCTTTACTAGTATTTTATTATGTGAGGCCTACAAATATCTTTCTGAGACTTAAGAAGTCTTTCCCCATAAAAAGATATCTTTCTCCACAAACTTTTTCAAATGCAAACAAGTCTACAGTCACTTCTATAATATCTATCTTTTCTAAAAGTTTCATTTTTCAAAAAGCAAAAGGGCAAATTTCATTGGTAGTTATTTTCTGACTCTCACTTCCTTAAAAGTCAGAACAATTGTTACTATCATTATAGCAACATCAACATCATGTCAAAAGAGATATAATAATTGAAATGGGAAAACTAACAAAAAATATAATTAAAACATACAAATAGCTCCAACAAAATAACTAATTCTCTAAAGAAAAGTAGGCAGGAAGAAAACCTTGTATTGTTAAATGTAATACCAATTCAGAAGCTGAGATCTCAATTGCTTTGTGAGCATTTCCCTCTTTTTGCCCCTTCAAATTATTATTCTCTTAAGCCTGTTCACAACATTATTTCTCTTTTTCACAGTCAATCCACCAACTTTTCCAATCTGATACAAAACAGGAGATGTAGGAAGCAAACACAGAGTCAGTCAAATTCCCCTCAATATAGCCAATGTTAAAATATTTTACTTCATTCTGTATTTTTAAGTTGACTTTGATTCCTCCTTTAACTGTTAGCTTCTTCTAGTTCTTTGGTGTCCAATTTTTAAAGTTTTATTAAAAAAAAGAATTCAAAAGAAAAGCAATTTCCCATTAAAGGATTCTTTATAATTAATTTCAAAATCTTATTTCTGATTTATCTGGACCTTTAGTACATTTTCAACTTTCTAAAATAAAAGTTTAAAACAGCTTTTGCTGTTTATTAAAAAAAGTCCTTAAACTTTATTTAAAATATATTTTGCTAAGGACTGAAGGGAACTCACCTTGGTAGTATAAAACACATCATTCCAAATATTCTTAACAGCAGAAAAGCAATAAACAAGCAATTTCCAAAAGTGGTTAAAAAAAGAAGTGTGAGAAGTCAGCATCTTTTCAAAGGCCCTGACCAAGGTTTGAGCAAGATGGGTATTCCCTTGTCTCCCAGAGCTCTAAATCAGCTGGAGGCTGCCTTGCAGTCTCCTCATGAGGAGCAACTGTCTAGAGCAGTTGTGGGTTTGCTTAAGTCATCTCCTTGTCTGGCATGGTTTAAAGAGCCGGTCTATTCACCAGCTCTTCATTCCTAAAATCAAGATCAACAGTCATAAAGGAACAAATGCAATCCATAGAATTATTGTTCTTGGAACTCTTCCAATCCAACCCCAGATTCAGGGCAGGAATCCTCATACTATCTCAGGGATCTTCAAACTTGGCCCTTTTATTACTTGTGAACTTCAACTCCCAGAATTCCTGAGCCAGCGTGCCTGGCTGAGGAATTCTGGGAGTTGGTCCACAAGTCATAAAAGGACCAAGTTTGAAGACCTCTGTACTATCCATTGAAAGTAGCCCATGTTCAACTGAATAGCATAGTCAAACACCAGGAGTTAACCACAGGAAATGTTTTATGATATTTGTACTATATCATAAACTGCTTTATGATAATTTTTACATCATAAAATGTTTGCCAAATTTCAGTTTTATGGGAAACATGGGTCACAGATTTTGGGCACTTTCTGTAAGCTGGTCCATGATTTGAGGACCCTTGGTTCAAAAACTGTTGCTCTATGACAGTGATGGCGAACCTTTTAGAGAAGGGGGCCCAAAACTGGCACCGCCCCCACTCCACTCCCTGCCCCACCCCACTCCGCCCCCATCCTGTCTGCCCGCAGGGCCACTCACCACCTCAAGGGCCTGCCGCAGATTGCCCAGCAGCACCATGGCAGCCACGCCTTCTGCCCGCGCCCCACAGCATCAACTGTGCGTGATGGGGCGTGAGGGCAGAGTCTTGTCTACGCTGCCTGGCTGCCATGTCCTTGGCTGCACTGCTCCATGTGGGCCATGCTCGGGGGCAACTCTCTCCAGCGGGGCTGCTGGTAAGGGGGTCGCGAGGGGAAGCAAGGCTGGGGCAACACATGTGCCCACAGAGAGGGCTCCGAGTGCCGCCTCTGGCACCTGTGCCATAGGTTCGCCACCACTGCTCTATGATGTGCTGTTTCACTTACTTAAAGGTTACAGGAATGAGAGTTTTAGTACTATATAGGCAGATTAACACAAATCTAAATTATTAAAAAATCCCAAGATCTTTAAAATTCTGGTTCTCAATGCTTTTTTCATTAAAAACCTATATTTTAGCATATTCAAATAAATAATCTTAACACATAGGTGAATCCAATAAAAATAAATTGGTCAACCAGATAAAAGGCTGAATTTCCTTGACAAGATGCTTCATTGGCTCCCTAAGAATTATATCCTTAGAGAAATTGCAAAAACCAGATTTGGGCTTGGGCTGCAGCTCCTAATCTGTTCCTCTCTACATCAATATGAGGCTGTCTGTTGATTGTTTTGGGTTCAGTGGTCCCTGCCACAGAGATTTATGAACACTTGCTTATAGCCTAATATAGTATATGGTTTTATTTACTTGTGGCTTCATATATCTACCAGATTTAAATAAACCAGGTCTTCTGCAATGCGAATTCAACTTGGATACTCAGCCAATACCCACAGGAGTCTCTGCCAATGAATTGTGGACTCCCCATCCATTTCCAGTTTTGCCACCATTCACTACAATACCTGATGCCGTCATAACTTGCTTGATATAATCAGGATGAACCAAGGACAAGACTGGCAGGAAGGGCCCCATCCATACCATAAATGTCGGGGAGAAGGTGCTTACAATCTGGACCAATTTGGCCAATCCCTCTTCAGTGGGTGGAATCTGCAATGGATAAAGGCACTGAATGCTGGTGCAGGCAGGAGGAGAAAGTTATAGGGCTAGTTGGCCAAAGCAAGAAAAGAGACTGGAGAAAGACTACAAAAAAATAGTTTTGCTCTGAAAGTACCGTATTGAATCTGGTGTTGAGGTTATGGCCATATGTCAAAAGCAGGCATTTATAGTTCTGCTAAAATCCACTGAGCAGCAGAAATGCAGGCCTTGAGCCCTAGAGGCACTGGCTAAAGGATGCAGTCACTTCCTTTCATTTTCATCAAGTCTTAGGCAGGCTTCTCCAAGTGCAAGCTACCGTTCCACCAGGTTCATTTGTAGATGTTTTTCGTGCCCTTCCAATTAAATAATGTCATCTATTGTGAGCCAGGAGGAGTGCTTTCTCTGTTGTGGTGCATGCTCTTTGGAACAGCATCCCCCAGATATCCATGTGGCACCCACCATTCTGAAACTTCAAAAGTCTTTTAAAATCTGGTTATTCTCATAGGTCCCAGCTGTTTTGCTCAGAGTTTTTTTGGAGGGGGTAGAATGGTGATTTGTAATGACCATTCTTCTTCCTTCTTAGAAAAGAAATGCATGCAACAGGGTCACTGCCTCCATCTCTCTCTTTTTTTTCTATGACAATATCAATAGCACTAGCATTAACACTTAGACTTACATACTGCTCCATAGTGCTTTACAGCACTCCCTAAGCCAGGGGTATCAAACTGCCGGCTCACAGGCCGGATGCATCACTGGGAAACCACGCCCACCCCATTGCCGGCAATGGGGGAAAAGCTCCAATACGTTGTGCGATATCACATCACATCGCAAGTTTGACATGTCTGCTCTAAGCATTTACAGAGTCAGCATATTGCCCCAACAACCTGGGTCCTTATTTTACCAACCTTGGAAGGATGGAAGGCTGTGTCAACCTTGAGCTGGTCAGGATCAAACTCCTGGCCTTTTAAAAAACACCCCCATCCATCCTAGTGGACTTTCCTTCTCTCTCCATCTGTTTCACTTCCAAATTTGAACACTTCTACTACAAGATCCAAACGCTCCTGTGCCTTTCTGTTTTTTTTTTTTTAATGGCATCAATGTCAGAAGAGATGCATGTGTGTACAGATATGAAGTTTCAAAAATTCAAAAAAAATGTGCAGCTGATCACAACTATCTTTCTGTGTTATTGACTGCTCTTTTAGAAATCTATCATTTCCCTTCTGTCCAGAAATTAGCTTTCCAGAAATTCTTATTCTGGCTATTTCCCTTCTGCTGGAATTGGAAGATGTAGCATCCTTGTGACTCTGTCTGTCATAGGCTTCAAGACTGTGGTATGGTGTAGGAGAAGCATCTGTGGGCAGCATTTCAGGTCTCCTATGGTGATAACTTGTGCAAATGCTTAGATTTTGGCAAATTTCCATTCCTTATACTAGCTGGACTTACCATTCCCATGTGGCCTAGGAACCAATTGCAGTGAGGCGGCTGTGGGAAACTGCGTAGTCTTTGGCAGTTGACATAATAACAGTAGCAGATGTCAAAGGCCTTTAAACACTGATGGATGAGGAAGGCCAGCAGGCATAGCAGCAGGCTGGAGATAACCATGGTTCGGAACAAGGTTTTCTCCACAGCCAGTTTCTCTAGCAACAAGTCTGTGAGGGGCAACATTCTGGAATAAAAAGAAAGTAGATGAAGTAGAGAACAGAATTCTTGGAATAACTTGTACATTTGGTGAAAGAAAAAGATCTTTGACCTTAGAGGGCCCCCACCTTCAAATCCCACTTTCTGTAGGAACCCAAGTTAAAGCACCCCAAATTTAGTCTAATGAAGAGAAGACTCATTGGAGACATGATAGCAGTCTTCCAATAATTGAAGGGCTGTCACAGGGAAGAGGGGGTCATTTTATTCTCTATCAACACCCAAGGGCAGGACAAGAAGGAATAGTGGAAATTCATCACAGAAAGATTCAGCATGGAACTAAGGAGGACTTTTCTTACAGTGAGAATAATAGAGCAATGGAATACTTTACCTCCCTTAGATGCAGGAGCTCCATCGCTGGTGTTTTCAAGAAAAGACTGGATAACCTTGGGCAGGGGGTTGGATTAGAACACCTCCAACGTCCCTTCCAGGCCTACGATTCTATAATTTACACACTGTATGTTTCTGTCAAAACCGATTTGTTGGGAGGGGGTGATTTCTTCATTCTCTGTTCCTGCGGTTTCTGCCATATTCCTGGGGGGAGGGGGGAAAGCTATGGATGCTACAATGTATCCTCTCCACTTTCCTCTATCTACTTGCACGGCAGAAGAAAAAAAAGCTAGAATTAGACTGAAAATGTTACAAGAAGCGAAAGAAAGTGGAGGACTTGGACTGCCGGATTGAACCCTATACTACCAAGCAACTATATTAACATGGCTAAAAGAGTGGATAATGCTTAGAGATAAAAGACTATTATACCTAGGGGGCATGACCTACAACATGGATGGCATGACTTTCTGTGGTATGGGAAGAATAAAATACATAGATACTTACAAAACCACTTTATAAGAAATACACTTCTTTTAGAATGGGAAAAAATAAAAGCAAAAATCTATATTAAAATATCTGGATGGATTTCAACAATGGAAGCATTTGCTTACCCAAACTTAATCAATTACGAGAAAGTTGTGACCTATAAAGATATTTTAGACAATGAAGGGAAACTGAAGGTCAGATAAGATTTACAAGAACAAGGTATTGAACTATCATGGTAGCCATACTTGCAAATTCAAATGAGATATGAAAAAGATGCTAAAACAACAGGATTTTATAAAGAACAGACAAAATTTGACCAGATACTGCTAAAAACAGATGAAAAATTGATTAAGAAACTCTATAAATATTTGTTAAACTTAAAGATGGAAGAGGAACAAGTAAAAAAAGCAATGATAACATGAGCAAAGAACTTTTGACATAATATAAAATTAGAAAACTGGCAAAGATTATGGGAAAGAAATGCTAAATTAATGAAAGCGGTGGCTTACAAAGAAAACTTATACAAAATGTTTTACTTATGGCATCTTACACCAGTGAGATTTAGCGAAAATGTTTAAAAATACATCAAATAAGTGTTGGAAATGTAAACAAAAACTAGGTACTTATTATCATATCTGGTGGACATGCCCTAAAACTAAAAGATTTTGGTCAAAAATACACATACGGTTGGAAAAAAATGACTAAAACATATAGATTTCAAGCCAGGACTGTTTCTGTTAGGTATAATAGGAGGAAACTATGAGAAAGATTGTATATATTTACTTTTACATGTATTAACTGCAGCAAGAATTGTATTTGCCCAATATTGGAAAAATGAAAACTTACCAACGGAAGAAGAACTAATTAAGAAAATATTAGACTATGCAGAAATGGACAGATTGACATTAAAGATAAAAGAGAAAGAAGACTCAGTGTACTTTAGACATGGGACAATTTTTACCAATGGCTAGAAAAGCGAGTTATAGAGAAAGGAACATGATATATACTATATAACATTGAATATATACTAGTAAGAAAAAGATTATTGAGCAATTAACTAAAATATTGATTATGATAATATAGAAATTAACTCTTACATATTGTTTTTTTAAATACATGAACCCAGACAATATGCTGTTTGCTAAATATTAAGAATGCTATTTTTTTTTAAAAAAAACCAACCCTAATCCTAACTCTAACTTTAACTCTAACCCTATAAAAATTAATAAAATATATACAAACACAACAACAAACTCAGAGAGAATCTAGGAAATATCCCATGGATGAAAATCCTAAAGGGGAAAACAACACAAGAAATGTGGGAAACCTTGAAAAATGTGAATATAAAAGCCCATACCAGCACAATACCATTGAGAAAGAAAAACAGATGTTATCTCAGAACCATTGCACCACATCTTTCATAAATCCTGGAGCACCAGGGAAGTACCTGATGTGGTTTCCATCTTCAAGAAAGGAAAAAAACAGATCCAGGAAACTACAGACCAATCAGTTTAACATCAATACCTGAGAAGATCCTAGAAAAAATAATCAAAAAACAGATCTGCGAACAACTAGAAACAAACAAAGTCATAACCAGTAGCCAGCATGGGTTTGTTAAAAACAGATCATTCTTTGATAAAGTGACTAAACTAGTAGATCAGCAAAATGCTGTGGATGTAGTATATTTAGATTTCAGTAAGGCATTTGATAAAGTAGACCACAGCCTACTCATTGGTAAGCTAGAAAAAGATGGAATAGACAACACCACCACCAGATGGATCTGTAGCTGACTGGCAAACCATACTCAATGAGTAGGTCTCAATAGCACTACATCTGCATGGAGAAAAGCAAGCAGTGGGGTACCACAAGGTTCAGTCTTAGGCCCGTAACTCTTCAATATATTCATAAATGACTTAGATGAGGGAATTGAAGGGAAACTCATCAGATTTGCAGATGACACCAAACTGACAGGAATAGCCAACACCCAGAAGACAAACTCAGGATCCAAAAAGAGCTAGACAAACTTGAACAATCTAACTATCTAACAAAATGAGCTTCAGTGTGGAGAAAAGTAAAGATTTACATTTAGGCAGGAAAAATCAAAGGTACAAGTACAGATTGGGTGAGACCTGGCTCAAAAACAGTAACTGTGCGAGGGACCTTGGAGTCCTAGTGGACGATCACTTGACTATGAGCCAGCAGCAACCAAAAAAGCTAATACAGTCCTGGGTTCTTTAAATAGAGGCATAGAATCAAGATCATGCAAAGTATTAGTACCACTTTATAACACCCTAGTAAGACCACACCTGGAATATTGCAACCCATTTTGGTCACCATATCACAAAAAAGGTATTGAGAGTTTGGAAAAAAATCAGAGAAGAACAACTAAGATCAAAGGCCTGGAAACTAAAACATACAAAGAACGGCTGTGGGACTTGGGTTTGGCTAGTCTAAAGAAAAGAAATAGGGGAGACATGATAGCAGTATTCCAGGATCTGAGGGGCTGCCATAAGGAAGAGGGGGTCACATTGTTCACCAGAGCACCAGAGGAAAGGACGAGAAACAATGGTTGAAAACTGATCAAATGAGAACATGCTCCAAATGGTACCGGGCTATTGTTCTGGGCATTAATACCCAATGCCCATATTTCCATTGTTCCCAACAACAGACACCCTCTCACTGTTTCTGCTTTGCCAGCAGAGTTACAAAGTCCTCAAGGTACTTAGGAGATCTCGTGATTCTCTGTGACCTCCTTAGACCCTGAGACTCCCCAATTCCATTTTGCCCAGAGGATGACATGAAGTTGCCTCATCTGTCAGACCCTGGTGGTCCCCATGGACCGTGCCCCGTTGCCTGGTCTGCTTGCTTGCCCACCGGGCTCGTCAGACCAGGACTTTGTTCTCCCAATAACCTGGTTGACCTGCCTAGTTGCAGGCTCTCTGGCCCCTCTATAAAACTGCCACTGTTAGGTAACTCTGTAGTGCCTCCCAGGCCCACACTGGACCTATCAAGGGGCTGCATTCCTTCGCTCCCCAGTCCCGTAACGGGACTGTCTGGGTTTTAGTATTTCCCCAAAACTCAGTTGCCCCCCCATCTGTGCCGGAGGTGTCAGAATTGGGATGTGCCTCTCCGACCACCTCCCTGTGTGAATACCTCCTTCTGGAAACAGTAGCAGTACTGGGCCAACTAGACTGGTTGTGTGCCAGCTCTCTTGCAATGTTTGAGTTATTAGGATGCTCCCGGTTATTCTCCCTGACTGGAGTGCTGAATGGTATGGGTGAATGATGAGTATGCCCCCTGGGTGACTCCCTGGCTGGAGTAGGCACTGGTGCCTGTGTGCTTCCTAATTCCCATGGATTTCTGTTTGGAACACTTGCGGAATCTTGGAATAGGCCATCTGTGGCCTCTCTGTTGGGGCCTGGCTGCTGCCAACACCCATCCTTTTGCCCATGGAGGTCCCCCTCCCCCCCTGGAAAAGGCCCAGGAGTTTCTGAGGGTATGTTCAGTCTTGTACGCAGCTGGTTGATATGCCGCCGAAGGACACGACCATCATCCAACGAGACCTCGTACGACAAGGGACCTGTAACCTTGCATACTACAGCAGGAACCCACAAGTGACCTGGCCCGTAGTTACGGGTCCATACCGGGGCACCCACTTGCAAATACCTCGGTGCCCTGGGTTGTGTAACATTAGGAGGCAGTCTGTCTGGGTGCAACCGGTCAAGTTTAGTATCAGTTTGCGCCCCCAGCGAAGTTCAGCTGGGCTTTTCCCAGTAGAAGTTGAAGGTGTGGTGCGGTACGCAAGAAGAAAGTCTGCCAACCTGTGGTGCCAGTCCCCATAGGTCAGTTTCTTTAAAGCATCCTTGGTGATGCAGACCATCCGTTCAGCCATACCGTTGGTGGAAGGGTGGAATGGTGCAGAGGTGGCATGACAAATCATGTTGGCCTGTAAGAAAGCTTGGAATTTGGAAGAGGTGAATTGAGGGCCATTGTCAGACACCAACACATCCGGAAGCCTATGTGCAGCAAAAATCCCCCTCACTACTTGAATGGTCTTGGCAGTGGTGGTTGAAGAGACAGGTACAACCTCAAGCCACTTTGAATAGCTATCAACCAGGATCAAGAAGAATTGACATGAAAGGGCCCAGCATAATT